TAAAAATGTTACAGCAATAGTAAAAAGCATTTAAATACTACTAACACTTACTAGTTACATTACAGAATATGTGGTTATAATAACAATATACCCTACATGTGAAGGGAGGAAACAGGCATGTTTAGAGAGCCACACTTCCTTTACACATTTCTGCTTACCATGGCGGACTTGTTGCCCCCCTCAAAGTAGAAAAACAGAGGCAAGAGAAACTGAGTGAGATTGGCACTGTTTGGGTGGCAAAAGTAGTTCAGTGTCACAAAGCATTGATCAAGACCAGCCACTACACTAATTAAATCCGATGTCAGTCTCAATAAACATGACACCGCTTTGGGCAGGGGGAAGAAAGCCTGTTTGCATAATCAAGCTTGCATACAGCATTATCCCAGTTCAATTGCCCATTACATAGGAATTAATCACAAGCCACTCTTATTGTCTCTGCTTGTAAGCTTAATTATAGCTATAGCAAAACTCAGGGAAGCTGAAAAAATTTGATTACAATGAGATCAATTATGAGCTTGATCTTTTGGGTGAAAAAAATGAAGAAACGTGTCTGGTGAAATACATCACTGTTGTCTCTATGGAATATAGCAGGTATGACAGAAACATTTATGGAAAAGCACAAACCATGTGCCTTGTGAGTAAAAACTCTCGTCTGTAGTGTAGGTATTTAGGGGCCAAGACTTTAATAGGAAGTAGAATTAAATCGATTGTGTTTTAAACTGAACTGCATGTCACCGTAATCTTCAAAAGGCAAATGTTTGTAAAAGGGTTCTGATTTAAAAATGTGATTAAAAAAATTCTAGTTGACAGACCAGAAAAATATGTTTTACTTCAACATTTCTGAGCCTTTAGTATTGCCTCATAACTCCAAGGTAATAATTATGTGGAGTTTGCACGTGTCTTCCTCAAGGTACTCTGGTTTGCTCATCCAGTTAGGTTACTTGGTGTTTCCAAATTATGTGTGTGTATGTGTGTGTATATCATGTGATGGACTGGCAACCTGTCCAGGTTGTACCCTAGGCTTGTACTCTATGCTGCTTGGGATACGCTTCAGATGAGCTTAACCTTAAGCAGTTAGAAAATTGGATGGATGGATGGATGGAATTATGGACCTTCTGGCCCCTGCAAGGCACATTAAATCAAACGATGAGCACAGCAGTGAGCCTTGCACATAAACAGAGCTTGGGGAGGCTTTCTTTAATAAAAGCCCCCCTTATGGAAAAGAGCTCCGTCCACAGTGCATCTCTGTGACGACACGGCTTTTGGGCAGCATGTCCCGGCCACCGTGCTCACTGCACAGTGAAACTGCAACAACTTCACTATGATAAAACCACAAAGCTAATCCGTCTCTCACTGCTAAATAACAAAATGAAGGATGAAGAAGTTGAGATCACCAATGCAACCAAACTAAGGTTCAGTTCAAATGCTAGCCTCATCACAAACTATGACACCTGTAATGGACACAATGAAACCGAAAGCATTCAGGCAGCGGAACACCACGAGGCCAAGCCAGCCAAATAAGACCCAGGGCTCTTTTGCAACAAAGAAGAAAGCACCGGTTTCGACAACAAAGCCACGTTTGGCTTTCTGCCCTCATCTGGTCTAAATAAATGCTGTTGCCACTCAACACAAACAAAACATTTCCTCTCAACAGACTCCAAACACCCCAGTGTTCCACTGACAACAATGTCGGCCTGCTGTTTTTCCAGCATAACTGTTGGCGTTGTGCAAGTATTTTTTACGAATAATTTCCAGATTATTGTAGGGGCATTGCAGCACCATAGCTCTTAGCCAATCAGACGTATGAATCTGTTTTTGTGCACGTTATCAGCTCTACGCAGGCTGTACCCATCCCCCACTTCCTGTCTCAGTGCCAGGAAGTCAGTGGTTAAAGCTGGACACAGCTAACTTCCAGCCCAGTCTGGCTATGTCATGTACCTGCAGATCACCACGTCGAAGCAGAAACAAGCTCAAGTGTTGTGACGTCCTTCTGCATGAATGCTATAAAAAGTGTTCCACATATCAATTGGGGAACAAACGAAAAGGGTTTGCAAAATACGACTTCAAGAGGCACTAATCGTCCAACTACAGCAAACAGCAGCAGTATGGTTTCTGCTCTATTTCTGACACTTAGATAACATAAAGACACAGTTTTTTATCACTATGAAATTTTAAAAAAAAAATCTCACATGGCTACACTTCAGGAGATGTTTGCTGGCACCAGTTCAAACCCAGGTTAAAGTAACAGGTTACAGACTTTACCTAAAAAAATCTCCATTGAAAGAAATATTTGCAGAGAAGATGTGTTTAACTTACGCGCTTTCTTCTTCATGAGATCTTCAGCAGGCAAAGCAGAAGCTGGGCCAGGAAGTGGTGACAGCTTAGAGTATCACAACCGAAACCCAACACTGAAAATGTTACAGCTATCCACATCCACCTTCTCTACAACCTCAGCAAAAGATGGAAAAAAAGCACGAAAAGGTGTCACCCATCTGCATTTACTCATCTGGAGCTCCAGTAATGGAATATTTCTGCCATCAATGTTTTATCAGGTTATTTGGGTCATAATGCAGTGTTCGTGCAGCAATTACGACACAATCTGTCAACAATCAGTAGAAATATAAGCATAAACAGAATTCAATTCGAATTAAGCTAATATCTTACAACAAACACAAACACCAGGAACTCCATTGGCTACCTTTAGGCAGTCCAGGATGACAGTGAGTGCCCCCATATATTTATTATGGTGTCCTGTGAAATCTGTTTCTTCACAGTAGCTGTAGGTGCTCGTTAGGTTCACCCTTGACCAGCACAGAACCCAGGCATACTTCCAACTCTTTATCTAATAATCTAATGACTACAACCTAACATATAAAGGAAGCATTCTTTTGGATTTATTGATCGCTAGAACTGTATTCCCCAACCCGGTCCTTGGGGACACAGACAGTCCATAATTTTACATCCCTTCCAGCTCCCTACTGGGAAAAATGTGGACCATCTGTGGGTCCCCAAGGACCCAGTTGGGAAACGTTGCTCTAGAACATTCCATCTGCTACATATATTGCCGTCTTGAGAATGACATGATCATAGACGTAGGATGTGATGTCAGACCCTGTTTAGATTATAAGGAACTTAAGTAACTGGTTCTTAACCAATGGTGAAGCAAGAAGCACAGAGTTGGCAATAAAGCCAATCAGGGAAGCATCCTTGGTCAGTTCATACTGCTTAACCCGCATGTTTTGGCCCTGAAAGGCCTGATCCAACCTCAGTTCCTCTGGTTGACACCCCTGTAGTAGCATTGGAGTCGCAAATCTTAGTCACATTTTTTTTTTTCTTAAGAAAGCATTTGTGTTTCTGACCCAGTTGAAATTGGAGAGATCGACAGTTAATGTTTTGGTAACCAAAAAAGAAGAGTGTGACTGCATGTTTCAGAAGTAGGCCAGCAGTTCTAATCTAATTTCACAAGCTCAGAGGATGAAAGGCGACGGAGCGAGTTCAGGGCTGAATCTAGAGCAGCGCACAGGTCATTCGGAGCTACAGGCACTCTGCTGCTCTTCTGCATCCCCTCATGTCCTGACCTCCAGCTCACCGATTCTGCACCTGTACACAAGCCAGTCTCTTCTCAGAGTGCTGCTAAAATACCCGAGACGGCATGAGGTCCCAGCAGTGCTCAGGTGAGGACAGACCAGCCAGAGATAATCTGGGGTGATTGTAACGCAATTCAACGGCACTCAAATGAAACCATAACCTTCAGATGTTTGTTTGGTTGTATTCTACTTCAGCTCATTTAATGAAAAATATTACCAAATTTAGGCTTTGTACAGATATGAAACACAAAACTTAAACAACTCAAAATCTATACAATATCTGTAAATGATCCAGCCATCTCACTAACCATTATGACATCGAATTGTGATATCAGATTTTCAACATTTTTCAATGAATAAAAATAAAAATATTGTTCTTCAGTCTCTAAGAAAAACACTTTTTTCTCTTTTACGGAGCTGGTGGATAATCTCCATCACATCTTCAATGTGATCAAACAAAAAACTTGTAATTACAAATCTGCAAATATTTGGCTGCAGCTCAAGTCCTCTTCTCACAAAAAGCATCGCTTACCTGAGGTATTTTTCTCTTCACGAGAATAAACGGTACAGGAAAGACCCTCACCGTACATCACATACATCTAACACAAAACAGGCTCTTTACATGAGCATCGGAGTGGAGACAAACATGGAAGGGTCAGTCAGCAGGGCAGAGCCCAACAAACGTGCTCCTGGCATGAATCCACGTGTCTCCATTAGCTGCCACAGCAATCAGTTAAGAGGCTCTTAGCACAGCTTAGTTACAGAGTGTGAGCGACAATAATCCAATAAATATTTCAGCGATAACATGCATGGCGCTGACAAGGACCCTGAGATAAGGCCTGTAGCAAATAATATTCTGAATTATTGGGTGACGCGGTATACTGGTTTAAGAACTAACAAAAGAACAAACAGGTTTAAATCTCAAAAGAGAGTCCTTGTAAGTATGTCAAGTATTCAGTTGCATAAATATTTAAATCTGTGTAAATAAAGCATTTCTGTGTAATGACCCTTGTAGCTTTTGTGTCTTATAATTTTTTGTTCAATTGTCATTTTTTTCTTTTTCTCAGCGTGGAAAAAAACATGAATGTAGCAGTTCAGAATAAAAACCACGCAGACTCCTTCACCACTGGCTTCAAGTAACATGGAAGCTTAAAGGAGATCCTTTAAAAAAATTCTACTGCGGTCGGGAATGAACACACACACTCACACAAGCACACGCACAGCTGCCCAGCCTTCGTGACGACTCACACTGAAACACTTTAGTATTTTTCTCAAAGCAGCATGTTTGAAAGTAGTGTATTTTCCGCAGAAATAGATTAATTTCCCATGAAAACATTAAACAGTCGCAATAACAAAAGAAGACAAGATAGACACAGCTCATTTAGGCAGAAGTCATCGATGAAAAAACTTGCATTTTCAAAAGAAGTTTATAGGACCATTGAGTAAACAGTATCTTGTGTTTTCTTACTACTTGAGAGTATTGTAATATTCAAGTGATCCTGCTGTGTGGCTCTGCGATGTGCATTCAGATATCCGATTAATCAATGCATAATACGCAAAAATCACTGCTAATAAAATTCAACCCACTAGCAGGATGTAGCGGATACAGTCTGTTCATCCGGTAATAACTGCAATTAACAGTACTGTCTGTCATGAGGCTGTGGACTGGGCAGGAAACGTACCCCTACAGCTTCTCAGAACCATCGTATCAGATTTTCTTTAAAGGGCTTCGGGGAAAAGAAAAATCCTTTAATGATTTTTATTTTTTTTTTTAAGTTACAGAGTACAGCCCATCCAGCCTGAAATATTTCTGATCAATAACAATTCATTATTAATAAGGCCATTGCCTCATCTGCAGGAAGTTAGAGTCCATTAAAGTCGTCATCCTGGCTGCCGCTTCCGGCTGTCATCATGCCCCCTAAATAAACTCCATCATCTTCTCCTCAGGCCTTCTCGCCTGACTCTGACAGCCAAGCATTGACCTACATAGGCCAGACAATGGTAATATGCCACTGCATGAAATATCATATTATTCCAGTGAGCAGGCCAGTACAGAGTGCCTTAGAAATACGGCAAATTCAAATGGAGCTCACCCCTGAGAGAGGGCATACCCCTGTGCTCAACTCAGAGTGTGACTGACGACATCTAAGTGGCCCACTTTCTCTTTGGTCTGCTTGAATATATGACACTCCAGGAAGGAAAAGTATTGTATGCTCCTAAATGGCATCGGTGCTAGGGACAAGTCTGACCTTGATCTCTCCTACCGGAACCACGTCCCCTGGGTCCAGTTACAGCCCTGCCATTAAAACCGATCTCATTAAGGGCCGAGCTAAACACTGTCTTCTTAGCACCTCCTTGTGGAATTCTTCCAGTGTAGCCATGACGACGGCGGCATGCCGTACGTGCTGCAGTGGGCTCCCTCGGGAAGGACACTTGCATCTGCAGACGACGCACTTCGGTATGCGACAAGCTGTCACCGCAGAATGTCAGAGCCGGAACTGAGATTTTGTCCCGCGTACAATAAGGGTTTGTGGCCTGGCGGGGGAAATACAGAGGGGGGCCTTTGTGTGGTTTTGGCAGGCATGACTTTGCAGAGAGGCAGACAATAGGAAATGTATAATACATAATTACAAAATTAATAAATGCATATTTCTAAAGGCAACCCAAGCCTTACAAGAAATTCAGCAGCACAAAGAGAGGCTAAGGATATGTATTTACATTACATAAACACAAAAAATAAAACAAATACATGCATCATGAAGATCCCCGGTGCAGCAGTCAGTCACACTTTAACTCTCTTGCCGAGCTCCTCGTCCCAGTCCACCTCCAGCTCAGCATCATCTATCGCTGAGCAGCTGAACATGGACTGGCCCGAGAAGACTGCCTTCGACGTGCTTGGCCCGAACTCGAAACACTTCCTCTTCCTGGGGTTCCCAGCAGGCTCCTCTGCGGAGCTGCCTTGCCCACTCTTTCCGGCGGGCGTGGTGCCCCTGGCTGCCGGCTTGGTTCGCTTGTCCGCTGAGGCCGTGAAGGAGAAGAGGGACAGTTTGGCCAGGGTGCAGCTGGAGACTGTCCGAGGGGGGTCTGGGCGAGGGGGCCCGGCCTCCGGGGCTGTGATGTCACCCGTCTCCATGCTGCTCAGGCGCTGGAGCAGTCTCTGTCGCTTATGCTCCCGCCCATCCTCTCCCTCTGCTGGGTCGGCAGGGCCCTGACCCCTCTCCATGTGGTTATGAGGCCTTTCAGCCAGTCTGTGCTCTTTTCTGAGCTTTGTGCTCGTGCTGCTTCTCTCCGGCCTCCGCGATCCCTCCGCCGCCCCCTCCGGCCTCCGCGATCCCTCCGCCGACCCCTCCGGCCTCCGCGATCCCTCCGCCGCCCCCTCCGGCCTCCGCGTTCCCTCCGCCGCCCCCTCCGGCCTCCGCGATCCCTCCGCCGCTCTCTCTGACTCCCCCGGCCATCTCTGTGTGTGTGGCCGCTCCTTGTCTGCACCCCTGGGGCACCGGTTCACCAGGATTCCTCCTGCTTCTTTTGGTTCCTCTCCTTCCATCTCCAGAAAGTGATCAGGGTCTTTCAGCCTTAAGCCCGAGTCACCTGGATGGTTGTGAAGGCCGGACATGCGAGACAGCTTCTTCCTGGGCCGGAAGTTGAACCCTGAGAGTTTAGTGAGCGGGTCGTCCCCGGGCTCCCCAGTCCCTGGTGCACTGTAGCCACCGAGTGATGGGATCTGCTCTGCATCTCTCTTACTCGTGGCCTGTTTCTTGTCAGCCATGGGGGTGCTGTGGGAGGGCAGGGGCACGTGATCAAATGGCTCCCCACCAGTTTTAGCGTTTGGTCCCGGGGCCCCAGGCCGCAAGGGTGTGGAGGTCAGGGCCTGGAGCCTCCTGCCTCGGAGCTTCTCCGACAGCTTATCCATCACAGACGCTGCCCCCTTTGCCGCATCCGCCGGACCCGCTAGCTCGTCTCCTGTGGCCGTCGTCTGCCGCTCGCACCTCTCTGTAGGGCTGCTGGGGGCCCTCGTGGGGACACAGGACAGAGCTGCCGAAATCGGCGAGAGCTGTATCGGAGCGTCAGCCTCCACCGGGCCGGACAGCGAGTGGAACCACTCCAGAGCGGGATCTGAGCCGTTCAGAGTCGGTGGAAGAGAATGGGCATCCTGGGCAGCGCCAGAACTCGTGCTGTGACAGGGCTGATCTTCTGAAGGATGCGCTGGACCCTCTGCTTGGCCACTGGAGGTCCTGCATCTTTTAATCAACCTACAAGAGCAACAAGCAGGAATCAGCTATAGCAGTTCACATTTAATATTATCACAAATATGTATTCTGGTATAGTGTGCAAACTGCCACATTTAAAATGGGTTAAACTGTGTCTATATTAATATTATTATGCCATTTTTATGCCAAAATGCTCCAAAATGAGGCCCCAGAGAATGCCCCGTCTCGCCATGTTTAGGTCGCCTTACTGTGACAGCCTCCCCAGCTCCTTCCTGAGAAGATGCTGCAATCCCAGTGCTTCCAGTATGACTTTGCACTGTTGCCGGTACTGCTCGCGGGGATCGTCGGGGAACGAGGTGTGCAGCGCGTTCACTTCACCCAGAAGGGCGCCCCCCTGAGGAGCAAAGACACAATCAGTAGGGAAGCATGACGTTACCCTCGGCGAAGCGGATCGGCGAAGCGGATCGCCGAGAGCGACGGATGCCCTACCTGCATGGAGCACTCCATGACGGAGACGACCACGACCGCATCCTCCACCGTGACGGTCCCCCGGAACATCAGCCGGGCATGTGCTGGACGTTGAGCAGGAAACAGAAGGAAAAGCGATGTCATTATCCCTATAAGGGATTATGAACCGCATTCAAGTTCATACAGATATTTGTATGACGAGGTCAGGCAGGGTTCATTTAGGGTCAGTTTAACGTTGTGGGCCACTCTGCATTTTCACCACACGCTGCCTCACGGGCAGGCGGCATTGCCGATGGCCCCCACCTCCCCGCCCACAAGGAAACACCAGCACTCAGACCTTAAGGCTACTCAAAAGCCGCTAATTACAACATTCAGGGGCACTGGGGCATAAACAGCCAGTCATTTGCGCACTGGTAATATTTAGTTACCAGTACTCTCATCTGCTATTTGTTTGCTGTGGTAGAGTTTTCTTTCACCGTTATTTGTTTGAACTTATTGCTGAATTTGTTACACTTCATGCTGATGTTACCGCTAACTGACGGGCCGCGGAAGTCATGTGACTATGCATCTCACTGAACCGAGGACACATGACAATAATGTGATCTATTTTCTAATCTATTTTCCCCATAGACCTAGGCTCATTATTTTATGTACAGATATACTATATTGTCTTGATTGTCCTTGTTTTTTTTTTTTCATGCGACACCTAAAGTATATTCTTTGTATGTAAAAGTAACATAAATGATTGGCAATAGATAAATGATTGATATCATTTGATATCATTGCCCTCATCTCCAATGATGCTGATACTACTACTAATAACAACAACAACAACAAGGGTGACGATGATGTCGCATTTAAGCATGCAGGCCTGCCTTCGGCCAGGCGTCCGAGGCTCTCCAGCATGCGCACGGTGGTGCGGGCGGCGCTGCGGCCCTCGCTCTGCCTCTGCATTTGGTAGTAGCGCGCCAGCACCGAGCTCGCCTCATCCGTCATGCGCGGCTGCAGCCCCTTGGCCAGGCAGAAGTAGGCCTTCATCTTCTCTAGGCTCCACAGGGAGTCGGCTGGGCCGTCGGTGCCAGGAGCTGTGAGTGGTGTTCACACACACGCACACACACACGCACACACACACGCGCACACACACGCGCACACACACGCGCACACACACACGCACAGTCACTTATCTGGACTAGAGCCCTCATGCAATGCAAATTCCACATGCAAAACCAAAAATCAACACTGATCCCCAGCTTTCCATGAACATGTTCTAATGACCACTGGCAAGTTAGCTGAGAAACCCCCCAAAGTAACCCATCTATCACTCAGCAGACGTCACAGGAAATGCTTCATGCAGGATGCAGACGCTCAGCAAACAGTGACATCGAGGGGCACCTCATTCTGCATACAATCTCACGGTTCACTTTGGATTTTCATGCAAGCGAGACAGCGACATCCTCTGAACTTCACTAGCAACCGAATTACTGAAATGTCCGAGACTTTAACCCAGGACAGACCTTTGTTCTGAAGGATGAAGGAGGAGATGATTCTGTCCCATTCGGGATTCTTGGTGTCCAGCAGGACCAGGACCAAGTCGAAGCGGCTCAGCAGTGGGCTGGCCAGCGCCACGTTCACCGAGACGGGGACGCTGGGGTCGTACTGGCCCTTGGGGTTGGTCGCTGCCAGGATGGTGGTCCTTGTGTTCAGCTTACACACCATGCTGTACGCCAGACAGACAGACCTTCACCTTAGTGCTATAGGTACAGTAAACTGCACGAGGCCCCCAGCCTCTACCGCCCTCGCGACATGCCCCCGTTTGTTTGTTACTGGTATTTTCCACCTGCCCCCCGCCCCTGTATACTTTGGCGTTTCCCATTGTATCTCCCTCCGGTATCCCGGATACCAAATTTGATGCCAACGTCAGACCTATAACGCCCTCTCGTGTGATCATTTCCTCCGCTCTGTCCTGAAACATCAATCCACTGTTTTCTTTCCCTTCAGCTCCTGTTCTCCTTTTGGGCTTTTGTAGGCCAAAGCCAACTCATCCCCAACCACACCCAAAAACAGGAAAGTCTGCCACATGGTCGCAACGTTCAGTCAGTTGTCCTTCTGGGAGACACTTTCACAGCTGTGAGCATTATGGAGTTGAGGGCGAGCAGGTGATGTGGTGATGTAATGATGTGCACGGCGCCCCCTGCTGATGTCCTTACCCAGCCTTGGCAACGCTGATGGTCTGCTGCTCCATGGCCTCGTGGATGCTGGTGCGGTCCTGCTCCTTGATGCTGTTGAACTCGTCGATGCAACAGAGTCCCCCGTCGGACAGCACCAGCGCCCCAGCCTCCAGATGCCACTCCCCGGAATCTTTCACCGCTGCCACCGTTAGCCCTGGGGGGGGGAGGGGGGCGGGGGCGATGTCACAGATAGGGTGGCACATGACTGCACCAAAACGTTGCCAAAGCGAGACTCTACCTTCATACCCTTGAGCCAAAGTACCTCATTGCTCCAATATCGCAAGCAGACATATATCATAAGGTAGAATCTGAACATCCTGAATTGACACAGAGGACTGTCTGTGTCATCTGCAACCCAGAATGCACCTCTCGCTGGCACAATCTACACCCATCCCAGAATGCACCTCTCGCTGGCACAATCTACACCCATCCCAGAATGCACCTCTCGCTGGCACAATCTACACCCATCCCAGAATGCACCTCTCACTGGCACAATCTACACCTATCCCAGCAGGACCCTTTCAAACATACAACCGTAGGCAAATGTATCAGGGTCCAAGGCAGAGTTGACTGGCAAATTAAAAAAAAAACACTAAACAGAACAGCATTGCTTTCAAAAATACCAACAACATACTGTATTCTGCTGGTACAATACCTGGATGATATGATGGTATGAAAAATTAGATACCAGCCAAACCTAAGTAGGGCAGGGAGGTTAGTCTGTTAAGGCTGCCCTGCTGTTGGAATATTTAATAAAGTATCTATTACAGAAATATCCAGCTGTTAATGAGCTGAGTGGTAGCTGTGTTATTCACTTCCTATATTCATAAGTACGTAAAAGAGCCGACTCGTTAACAAGCAGAGGGCTCGGCGTGGGGTTTGTCGGCGCCGGGCAAACCTGCGTTAGTGGAGCCGATGCCGGCGGTGAGAACAGAGCGCGGCGTGATCTTGGCGGCGTATTTCAGGAACTGTGACTTCCCAGTGCCTGGATCACCCACCAGCAGCAGGTGGGACTCGCCTTACGGGGAACAGACCTCCGTTAGCAGGTTTGAACGTTTGGGCTGATTTTACTGCGGAAGCTATTGCCCATTTTGAAACATCCTGTTGGTTTACTAATCCCTCATTATAGTCAAACAGCCAGGTATAAGCATAGCAATAACTAAAATATACTACGGAGATTTTAAATTAAAAATGCTTTTGTTTGATTACCCTACACATCCAGTGAATAATAATTAGTTCTTGGTCATCCTAAAGACCACACTTCTTACTAAAATTTTTATTATTTTAATCTTTGGCCCGCTTCAGCCCTAGGAACAGTAGATTTCTCAGTGAACATACTGACCTCTGACCCTTGTTCCAGAAGCATCTATTCTTTGAACTCCACCTGACAACACCAAGGCAACAGCTAGCTTGACGATATACAGGCCAAACACCTGCGGACACAGGCTCATCAGAATCTGGTTCCTGCCTTCACAAAGACAAAATGCAAGTGAAACATTTTTTATTGTCCAAATGGTCAATATTTCACACATTAAGAGGGCAACATTTTTTGAAAAATGATGGACAAATTTTATTCCAATAGTAAGTGTTCTATTGGATGCAGGTACTGGTAGCAAATGTGCCATTCAGGTCTTTTAACTTTTAAAGATATTAAAGAAGTAGTTGAGAACGTTAAAAGAGGAGTATTTATTACATACCCTCTAAAGGATTGTCCTTGTATTTTTCCCAGAATTCCTCAAACTCCTTCTGAACGTCTTCCAACACCAGTGCTGCGGTGGACTGCTCATTGTTAACCTCGACAAAATTTGCCTGGAGCACTATCTCCAGGTCACAGCGAGAGTCCTGGTACAGCGGCTTCCATCGTTGCCGAACCACGCCATACACCGTGATGTCATCCCCTGTGGGGCACACGAGCAGGCACCGGTGAGGTCATTTCCTGCGGACTGTAACACCAATCAGCCCTGGAGAGCAAGCAAAGCTGGTCTCCATTAGTGCATCCAGACAGTCTGGCAAGAAAGACACTGAGGAGACGAATCTGACTCCAGATGTTTGTAAAATTCTGGCAAAGAATTTCTACTACATAGTGTCGCAAAGAGGAGGTATCCTTAGAAACCTTACAGTACACAAAATGCTTCATAACACCAAAGATTTGACACCCCCACACACTTCAATATTTATCTGGGCCAACTCAAAAGGATTCAAGGAACATGTCCTTAACCTGATTTACAGCTGTCCACAAGGTCGTCCTCTAGGATGACCAGCATGGACCTTGGAATGCTGCCCACGGACAGTCTCTGGGCCTGGGGAGGAAAACAGCAAATACAGGGCATGGAAGGCTGGCACAGACCTCAGCTACCCACAACAGCAGAACCCATTACTGAACTGGCCATGCAATGGAAACTGGCTCTTTGCATCCACCTAGTGTGCAAACTGGGAAATGACAACATGGTTTCTCTCTGTAAATACAAATTTATGCAGAAATTCTGGTTTAGTGATTCCCACTATTGCTTAAACATTTCCGGCCTATACTGCGGGCTTTTCTGCAACTTCTTGATACTTTATATCACTGTTTCTTCTCTTGCTTTGCCACACATTGCATTATACTTACACACAATAAGCAGTATCAAGGCAATAAACAATCAATCATACACCCCAGCACTAGATTACCAAACACGGGCAAAGAGAGATATCTCCTGAAGCCTTTGTTACCTGCTCCTGGATCTTGATCTCCTGGTAGTCCCTGCAGCCAGCGGGGGAGGACAGGCTGTCGGACAGGGAGGTGAACTTGAAGGAGCCGCAGCCCTCCTCGTTGGGGCAGGAGGTGGGCGGCTTGAAGCTGTAGAACTGCTCCAGGTCGGCCTGGACGGAGAACACGTACTTGCACTGGTTGCACATGTAGTCCCTCTCGAACTCCAGCACTTTGGTGTTGCTGGTGCGGATGACGGTGCCAGTCACGGACAGGAAGTGGCCCACGTCACGTGACCTGGGGATGTGATCCCGTGTCAGCTCAGGGCAAACCGGCAGACCTAAGATGGAGGCCACATCAACACTGATGGTCAATGATTATGTAGCAGAATCGACAAAAGCATCAATAGCATACTGCCGCTGTAACTCCGAATGACCACTGGGTGGTACTCTTTTCTCATTTTTCTCATTGTTCAATATGACACTTGTCATGCTCTCGTACACCATCTTGGAACACACTAAGATACTGACATTTAGCTGTTAGTTTATTAATATTTATCCGTTATGATAAACTAAAAGTTATACTAAACGTCTAATGACCTGACATATGCGTTAACAATAGCATTCTGAGGACAGATCATGTCATTTTCCATCCATCTTCCAGCTTCAAATACAATACAAGCTCACAAAGAGCCTGGAGCCAACAACCCCATGGTACGAGTGAGGGCTACACCATGGACCAAATGCCAGTCCACTGCAGGGCACAAACACATTTAACACAACACAGGCATTTTAATATGGCTTTAACAGTACATGTATTCTTCGTGAAGCATTCGGTACATCATTTTCGGTTGGGGTGGCATGGTGGTGCACTGTTGCTTCACACCTCTGGGACGAGGGTTCAAGTCTCCGCCATGGCTCCATGTGTACGGAGTTTGCATCTTCTCCCTATGCCGTCATGGATTTCCCGCAGCTACTCCAGTTTCCTGAGGTTAATTGGAGTTGCCAAATAGCCCGTAAGTGTGTATGGTGCACAAACGTGCCCTGCAATGGGCAGGCGCCCCACCCTTGGTTGTTCCCTGCCTTGTGCCCGCAGGCTATAGAATAGGCTGTGGACCCCCCATGACCCTGGATAGGACAAGAGGTTTCAGAAGCTCAACATAAAAAAAACATTATGCCAATTTTTGGTGCAATTTAATGGGAAACCAAAGTTGTCGATCAGACCAAGACTTCAGTTAGCTCTGTTATACCGAACTCTGCCTTTTTCCCCCCCCCATACACGTTGACCGACACATTCACATTGGCTAACAGCTGCTCCTAATTGTGTTTGCAGTTTTAATAATTTCAAAACAAATTTTGTTATCCCTGTGGTACCAAAACTGCACCGGACCGTGAACCTGGAATCCAGGTTTGTACCGAACCGTGAATTTTGTGTACTGTTACACTCCAACAATTTACAGATGCCAATTAGTCGAGCAACACATGTGGGACGGAACCGCACATGTGAGAGGAATTCAGAGCGACAAGAGCCCTCGTTTCACACGCAAACGCCACAAACACAGACAAGAGGCGGGACTCAAAACCCCAACCCTAGAGTGTGACACTGCAGTGCCACCCACTAAGCCACCACACTGCCACGCACTGCAATATACTATATTTATATTATTAAGTGTCCCTGCCTTGTGCTGTGTGCTTGCTGTGATAGACGCCAGGCTCACTGGTACTCTGTACTGGATAAATGGTTGCGGGAAGTAGATGGATGAATGTGAAAAAATTACTTAATAAAAATAATAACACAGTTGCTCCAGTTGAAACCATGTGATTGGATCACATCCACTCCCAGGGATGAGGAATATGAGTAAAACACAAGGATATTTATCACTGCGTGTTCCGACGCAGCAGCCTACAGCAGCAAGCTAAAATCCCAAAGCCCGCTGGGAGATGCAGGCGTTTGGCCAGATTTGATTAAGGCAACAAGCTGTTTTTCCTTAAGAACACAACCAAGGCTGAAGTTGCTTGCCAGCATAGACTTGTTAAATATAAACAGTCTTCATGTTGTGAACGTTTGGGGGGGGGGTAAAAAAAAAGCTACTGTACAAATGGAACGAGACAGCATCTCCACTGGAGCTAGAAACAGATCAGAGATGCGTGCGGAGCTACGATCAGGTCACATGACTGGGGCTCAGCACACTCAGTGTACACACAGGGCTACTCGTGCTGTATTCGCCTGAATCTGATTCCTAACCTGATTTCTACGGCGACAAACTGCAGAGAGCAATGTGAAACCACAAGACATCAGAAAGAGATCAGAATGGTGAGAGACATGGAAGCTGTATTATCCAAAGCTAAAGCCACAAACAGCAGCTCTAATCAGAACTGTGAACCACGTCCAACGTCCAGACCAGTGGTCTCCAACCTCATTTAGTGAGAGATACTTTAGCAAAATTAAATAATATAGAGAGTCACTGGGAAGCAACAGTGAAAGTTGATGATGGGGGCCATTGAGGCGTTCTGATCTTCGTCATCAACTACGAGTGTCTGAAAGACTTCTTGATCGTTCTTTACCGGTTGGTGACCACGGGTCTAGATTTGGCTCAAATAATTGGTATCATATAGTGCAGGGGTAGGCAACCCTGATCCTGGACTGCCAGTATTCAGCTGTTTTCCATCCTGCCTGGTCTCCGATTAACCACATCTGATATCAGGCAAATAGTAACTCATCAGGTAGAATAGAAAACCTGCAGGATACTGGCACTCCAGTATCAGGGTGGCCTACCTCAGATACAGTGCATATAGCGACAGTAAAAAGAAGCACTCTAACCTTATCGTCATGGAGATCCCTTAATCAAGGTTCGTAACTCATTCTAACCCATCCTTAATTTGCTGTTCTGCTCTCACTCAGACAAGTTCTTTTCAATTTGGCTCTTTCAGGTGAATTTTATCCCACCTAAAGTCAATACTTTGCCCGTTGAGAGTAGTTGGTAAATCATGCTCTCTCCTTTTGCAATTTATTGCAACTCTTATTTTTGGAGAAAAAATAAATTTAAATGGCAAAATGTGTCTTGGCAGGCAGCCCCAGCCCTCTGTAAAAGTCAGATTCCACTTTGCATTCAGGAGGTACGCTAATTAGCATTCCGCACGCCGCAGCACGGCCCTGCTAAGGCTCAGCCGGGGACTCGGATCCTTTGTTTTGTGGGCCACACTGACGCGATGCTAATAATGTCCTCAGGCTGTCCTGGGAGACACATAAGGTCACCTTGAAGAGGCTGAGTCCCAAACCCCAGCTCTGCACCATCAGGGTTTAGCTCTGCAGTGCTGGGTAGTGAAATACACCATCCATTCAGATTCCATAATCAAATGTCAGCTACACCACCTAAAAGCAAGATATAAGCAGGACGCCGCTTATTACAGCTGATCATGGCTCCATTCAGGTCCCAGAAACACTTTTCCATGTAACACGGGGTCGACGACCCTCTTCACTTCCAACCCATTCCACCACAGATCAATTTGATACCTCACTCTGCTCCAGCCAAATGTCTCCCAGCTGCACACGAGGAGGACAGACAGTACGAGGCGCTAAGACAGGTCTTGTCGGTGTCCATGGAGATTTCAGTTCTCCCAAAGTCATATTTCTCCAAACTAACTTAGCCATCTCCGTTAGCACAGGGACAGTTAGCCACGGAAAACGTCCACCAAACCTGAACATGCTGCAGACCTCCACAACTAAGACTTGATTCAGCAGCATAGGTTCCAAACGCTGTTCATGGCTGACTCATCTACGTCTCATAGACGATTGACCCCTAATCGGCTTAATTGACGTCTTTTCTCCGTACTGAAGTTGCAATTAAGCAATAACCATTCCGGCCAGCAGAGGCACCTGTGTGCAGCACAGCCACCCACCTGAGATCCTGGCGTGCAGGTTCCGTTTGAGTCGGCACCCAGAGCCCTGGGGGAGGGACTGCAGGACTGCAGTGGCCGCCCTGTGCAGGGCGTGGTCGAAGACAGGCAGGACCTCGCTGGGGAAGGCGATGAAATACTCAGCAACCTCCATGTTGGCTTCAAACAGTGTCATGGCGTTCACCACCACGGGATAGTGTGCGTCCTCCTCAGCCTCCTGCAGGATCTGGACAAGATCACTCCGGTGGTGTTCCATCACAAATGCCTCAAACGCCTGCCCGACGAAGGCAACCTGGTCAGGGTCTATCGACATGGCAGAACTGCAAAAAACGGACATGTCAATCATATGAGCATAACAGGCTTTTTAATGCTTACTGTCTGTCACTGCAACAACCGCTACATATGTAAATTAATACTTAGATGTTACTCTAACCTCACATTATTTTATAGTCAAAAATTATATCATGCTTATCCGTACATGGAGTCTACTATCAAAGACTTAACACGAAATGTAATTACAATGTACTGTACACGCTTGAGGAAGTTTACTGTACTGGATAATTAATCAAGGTTACGCCAGGAAGATAAATATACGATAAATAATGAGTTTACTTTTCTCCCCAAGAGAATAAGCATACTGTTTGTGGTTATTTTATTCCATTTTCTTACATTTCCCTTAAGTGACGGTACAAAATTAGATGCAGATTTAATATCCTCCGAGGTTTGGCTGTAGATATTAGTTTTTTGTCTTTCTCGGCAGAAATCACTAAAATAGATGTGCTACAAAACTTTATTAGAAGTTAGAACGGAGACAGTTTTATCGCTGTAATCTTATATATAATTACTGACACCTAATGACAACAAAGGGATTTTGTCAAACCAATTTTAAGGTAATACACATACGCATTACATATGTTCACTTGTTTTCGAAATGTGTACTTAAAATCCACCAAATTTCTTTGTGTTTAAAAAGCAAGTACAGTTTCCCTATTCCCCACAGTATTTAATGTTACCATAAAAGCGTGAAGATAATTGTAATAATCGTAATATGCGCCTAAGAATAATTTACCAAACGACAAATCTCCTTGTGAATAAGGCAGGAAGGTCGAATTACACGTTCGCTCATAGTAGTCAGCAATTACTCACATATATATGCTGTTATACTGTAATTTGTGACCAGCGCTACATCGCTATTGTCACTTCCCGGCCCCAAAAAGACGCATTAATGTCACCTTACCCCAGGAACTTCCAGCAGGTACTAGCAGAAAACGGTCACTCCTGCCTGCTTAGTTGAACGTTATCGATGCATTTTGGCAACCAGAGAATAAACAACACTGCCGCTTTGCATTTTCAAATAACCATATATTTACGCATGTAATGCAACGCGGAAGAAAAACCTTCAGGTCCATTTCGGAATTGCCGCCAGACTGTACTATTCACCTTTTTCTATAAGGGTATCCATATTAAATAAATGAATAATAAATCTAGGATATGTTCGAATAGAATAACATTCTACGAGAAAACAATTATAATATAAATTATTACCACTGTTCATTATTCTCACATCCAGTTTAATCTACAAAACAGGTGAAATTCTTATCACATAAGCATACTACCTTCCCCATTAATGGTACGCTCCCATAAGGTAATACGTGCGCATGTGCGGCCTAATTCCGCGTAATGCGTTACCACGGTACCCGCTGTCCGAAGGAGTAGTGTTGAAGGAAGTCGGCAATGCGTATGTAAGCTACCGATATTATTAAAAGAAAAACTACGCTTACTGCGCTATAATCGATGAGCAATATTATGTAAAAACTTAATTGGAGTAATTTAGTTTATCATAATTTAGTTAATCACAAATGATCGAATGTGCACGCTAGACATTTGTTAACTGGAATGTAAAAAATTACTGCAAATATTACGTACTGAAACACTAAAAATGCCAGAGTAGCACATGTTAACTCATTTTTGATAAAATGTTACAAGTATGGCAAAACAAGTTACACTTTTCTTTTTATTAATGTAGCGTCAGACTTCATGTAGTTTATGAAGCATATACTCAGTGGCTCTTTTTTCAAAAGCAAATGACGGCTACAAACTGCCTAAGCGCTTTTAAATGTGGTCTATATCCAGTACTAGCTTTGTGTGTCTTATAAACTGGTGTATATAGTCAATGTGTCCCTTTCTTCATGCAACATTCCGGCTATGCAAACCTATTGAAATATGGATAGATGGATGTATTTCGTAAGTTTTTTCTTTATATATATATATAATACATGTACTTCAGGTATACAAGCAGTTATTATACAGCTGACACAGGGAATGTTTTGCCTGACTCATCGTGACAAAGAATAAATTCCTTATTCAAAATGAACCATGATGTGTTAAATGGCTAAAAAGAAATAAATGAGACATTTCAAATTGTTTTTCAAAATATTTTTTATGTTTTATACCCAAAAAGAATACATCCAATTAGGAGGAAAATCTGATTCTGTTTCTGTATTTCTCAGGAAACAGAATGTATTAATCATGCTTGCTCTCAGAACAATGGAAAAAAACTACCTCTGTAAAGGCAACTTATGTACACTTACTGTCTAGACACATAGGGAACATTATTTTAAGTATTGGCTTCTGACCTGATTTTCAGTATTTTCCCATCAACACATTTACAATTAAAGAATGTACAAGAAATGTTTGCATTAAATATCTGACAAATACACAATACATAGGTAAATGTCACAATTATTTATTTATAGCATACACCAATATAATATAAATATAAAATATACCATTTATTTTAAAATCAGTGAGACATTATTTTAAGATCAGTGTTGAGACAACCATACAAATAGTTTAATCCTACCAAAATGATGCAGAGGTGCAGCTTGTAACAAACTGTCATTACGGTGCCAATCTAAAATAAAGTACGGAGGACAGACGATACTGCATTTAACAAATAATATGTAGCAGCTTATCCACCACTCAGAAGATGCATCAAAGAAAATGCCAAATGTACTTTTGTCACTGTACAAACAAGAAATCCATTCACAGTGAATTAATAAACAGTATGCGACGATGTGTATTTGACTACATCTCTCTCATTTTTTTTTTTCTTTGTTTTCTTTGACATGCTCTTCGGTTCCAAAAAGTCAGAAGCTGAAGTACTGGGCGAACCACTCCTGCCGCTGCGGGTCCGGAGAGGCTACAGGCGAGTCGTCCGTCTCAGGAGGGCTGCACAAAGGGACAGGCCAGAACAACAGCTGTTATGCCAAACGGCTCGGCCTTGGAGGCTGGCGCCCTCTAGTGGTGCCCTCAGTTTGCAGAAGGCGTTCAGTTAAAACTCTGTGGGTGAATCTTTATACGTTTCCCTCAAATGGTTGCTTAGCAAACACCCTTCAGATGCTTTTCAACTCCCAACCTGCTGTCAAATAACCTTTCATCAGCACAGGCAAGATGTTTTGTCTGCGACAGACAGAAGCACCGGCTAAGTCTGACTCTGTCATATTCTAATTGCAGTTTTAAACATGGTGTTTTACTATGCATGTATTGTTTGTTTTACTGCTTCAGAGGGCTGGTATCCCCGGGGGGGAGAGCCAGATGTATGGGGGAGCGGATGACTCGGCTAATTTGAGTGGGGTGTACAGTCCGCTATAGCACCCCAGTTGGGCACCCCAGCATTATAGGGACTGAATCCACATAATTATCAGGTTCAATTGCAACATCTCTCACTTTCTTACTCATACTCTATTTATCTGACACGTTTATGCAAAGCGCCGTTTGACTGAGACAGCAGGGTCAGCCAGTTCCTGGAGAAATGAGGATTAAGGGCCTCAACAGTGAAATCACACAACCTTCCAATCAAGGTGACAGTGTTCTAACTTGCTGAGCTATACACTACCCCCATGCTGCAGGGGGCGCTACACAGGGAGAGTGGTAGCTCCTATAATCTCGTATAATAACCAGGGCACCTGAATGGACCTGAATAAGGACAGATGCACAAAATCCCAAAATGAGCTTTGCTGCTGTACTGTTGTTAGGTCCATAAACTGAATTGCACTGATAATGACTTGCAGCAATATATCCAAGTAAAAGGTTAGACAAGGATCCAGACCCATTAGAACCATGTTGTCACCACTGTTGATGTTGGTGTTTGGTTTAATCCTAAGGAGAACTAGCTTCTGATGCATTTAATGATATCAGTACTGTGTGAGAGTGTCACAGAGGGTGACACGTCACCTAACGAACTACAAGGGGATAAATTAAGGTCAGTGAGCTAAAGCTTTTCAAAAGGTAGATCCATTCATTTACCACATATGAATATACCTCTGATAAATCCGGACCTATTTCTTTTCCAATGCAGGACATGTTAAGGGTTCATGTGACCATATATATATATATATTTTTTAAGTCAAAGTAAACAACTGTTGAGACATTTGTTCATGTCACTGTTGTCAGCACATCATCTAACTGGGTGGCTGATGATTAGCATATTTATTTCGTTAGCATTTCATTTTGCCTCTCTGGTAGGTCCTGAGGGGGAATGTTCCCCCATTTAAACAAATGGTGGGAGAATCTATTACAATCCTAAATGCCAGATGCGTCTGTTCTTTTTATGCGGCATCGGTTCTGAAAAGGCGCTCACATCCCCGAGGACAGAGAGCGAGAAGAATTATTAGGCTGCCAGTCAGGCTTTTACTTCCCTTTCCAGCTGCTTTATTTCATCACCCCATCCTAAATTTGAGTGCTTTTTTAGAACAGCTATTGGTTTATGTTTCTATATTTGCCGTTATGTTACATATTTTTCTATTACGGCATTTATGGCAAAGATACTCAGTGCATCAGTGATGATAAATGCAACAAATGTATATAAATGAAATTCAAATTAAAAATAAAAAGAGACTGGTCACCTATGGCCATCATGTTTCTACACAATCATTTATTACTGATTGCTCTTCTAACTAAGAATAATATCATTTATATTTTGGAAGTAGCTGTTGAACCACTGCATTGTCTTGCTCTTGACAGCTCCACTCTGCCTGCCTAAAATATACAAACAGCCCATTTTACAGACACTCTTATAATTATTTACAGGGGCGGGGCTACAGGGGCACTGACCCTAGCTGAAAGCTGATTGGCCCCCGGGGTACCACAGGGGTGTCACTCATAGATTTGAAACATTGTTTAAATCAGTAGTGTGGTTAAAGAAATTAAAAGAACCATAAGCGATTATCTTTATTGTTATTCTGAAATTTCGGTTGGAAATTTGAGCCTCACCAGTGAGTAAAACACATCTCTACTGTGTTACGTTTGTGGTAAGATGTCACAAACTGTATGTGCACATGCTTTTTTATGAATCTTTCAGCATTAACAGCAGCATGTTCGTGAATTCTTATGTTAAGTGCTTCAGACCTGCAACCCCAAAGCTACATCACAGGGATTATCAACAAACACAGAGCGTCCCTAGCAAACTTGATATTTGTCCTTGCTCTGTGTTGACGCACACATGGGCTCCTGGCACTTTGCAGTTTCTTACACAACTGCATACCTCTGACATTTTACCCATGGTCCCCTGAGACTAGCCCCGCCTTCTGTTTGAGGATTCTCTGGAAAAGACAAAACGTTCTACCATCTTTTAGTATCCCAGTCTCAGTACCAGGGGTCATCCTAATATTTTTTTTTAATAACAGAGACCTAATCATTGGCCAATGATATGTTCTGAATCTGTGAGTGATAGTGAACTGGGAACTCCATGAACCAATCAGCTTTCAGCTGGAGCCAGTGCCCCCGCCCCTATATATACCCCTTGTCAAGCACATTGATTACTAGATGCTACCTTAATGGAATACTTAGAAATGAACTAATATGACCTTATGATACACTTCAATGTCAGCAAAGTCATACCCGGAGAAGCTTGAAAGAAGGCAAACCCACTTCTTGGATTTCAGCAGATATTCATCACCAGTGTGAGATGAGTCCGATTTGTTGAGGTACTGTGGTAATACGCTTCCTACAAGAGAAGCGGGGGCTGTTCCACAAAACAGGATTTCTCAGGTAGTTGGGCTAACTTAAGCTAGAATGTTTGTCCAGTAGGAATATTCATGACTTCAAGCTCAAGTTAACCCAGCTAACTAAGAAATCTTGCTTTGTGGAACATCCCCTAGGTCACCCTCCACTGTTGCTACACAGTTGTGATGACTCACTTGCCCTGTAGGGGGAGGCGCACCTAAGTGTGAGGAAGCTCGGTGTTCCAAGTCAGACTGTGTGAGGCTGGTGGAGGGAGAGACAATGGAGGATAGGCCGCACCTGGCCTGCTCATTTGCAATCAGCATGCAGAACAGCAAGACAGTGCACCCTGCCCATATTAATTTGCTCCTCCCATAACCACACTGCCCCACCCATACTTTGAATGCTCAAGCATCCACCCCGTGTGCATCAGCAGCCCAGGAATGGAGTTCAGTGCATGCACGTGTAACAGCATCACACACGCCACCTGGAGGCAAATGTTGGAACTGCGTAAAACACCACAACACAAGCGAAGCAGTGTCGAGGCACAAGTCAACAACTTTATTGGCTGAATGAAGAAAAGGGTGCCACCCACTGAAAGACCCTCACACAAACATAGACACGTTGGCACATGGGGGCAACAAGGGTCAGGGCACAAGGGCATGCATATCAGTTATAGTCTTTGAGTGCAATCCAGTCAACAGATGACAAATCAAGACACAAAATGGCGGACTTAGTGCAATGTGAACAGATCTTTTAAACATGGGGAGCAGAAACCAAGCGTTCAAAAGGAAACAGGGAACAACAATCACCGTCCAGTACTTTGATATTCCACCACAAAAAAAAGTGTGACACAGGGACAGGACAGGGTAGAAGCAGGACAGAACCGGCATGCATACAGTCAGGAGAGCATGGGGGAGACAACCCTGAGGCACCATGATACCATTTGCATTCCAACGCCATTTTCAAAGCACATTTATGGGGCATTACCATTTGTGTAGAAAAACTGCAATATCCCTTTTTTCCCCCCATCATCTCATAAATAACTGAAAAGACAGCGAGCAGGTATAGGAGTGTTTAAAGATTCAGCACTCCCCATCCCTCTCTCCCAGGACACAATTAAATCCTGAAAGAGCTGCAAACGAACACAACAACAAAAAAAAAAACAAGCTGCCCTTCGAATGAAATTTCGATTAAGCGGGCAGTCCTAGGGTGAACCTAGCCTGGACCGGGAAAATTACCTTGTAAACGAAAATTCAGGCAGTTTGAGGCTGTAACTCCTGATTTTGTGGCGGTTATCAGGAAAGGGACACAGAACAGTGAGCACAGGTGTCACCTGTCTGCAAAAGGGATACTACAACTGCTTCTACAGAGAGAGAGAGAGTAAAAGACAAGAGCGCTGAAGTGCGGACTGGCCACGGCAGAGCGCCCGCCGCAGGCTCGTGCTTGTCTCCGGTCCTGCCACGTGCGGACGGCAACGTCAGCGGCGAGGTGCGGCTCACCTCATGACTTTCTTGGGCTCTGTCGGAGGGGTCGGTGGGGGCAGAGGTTTGCTCGTGTTGAGCTCAAGGTGGTGAATGGGGGAGTTGGGAATGGGTTCTAGACGGCTGGGCGGCGGGGGGGCACAACCAGGGCCCCCAGCTTCCAGAGCCCTTAGATTTGGCGAACTGCTGAATCTGTTTGCTGATTTGTCATTCTTTCGCTTTTGCTACACAAACAGAACACAGACAGAAGAGCGGATTGGATGTTTAACGCTACGTAGCTTCATCACGTTCAAAAGCTACATCTGCCGAAAAGGTTAGCCTCGTGCAGCCCGGTTACGGACATGTAGTCGCTCCTGGCTACGTGAGATAGATAAATGAGGTACAAGATAATGTATCAACGTTAGAGACTGCTAAGACTTCCGAAAAGTACAAAAGAATGGCTTGGAAAGCAAAATAGACTGGGATGGGCAACAGGTAAGAAACACGGACACAGGAAGACGAGAGATCACACAGAGCCCAGAAGTGGAAGTTCCGCAGCACGGATGAGACACACGCTGATATGGAAGTCATGCAGGCTGGTCCAAACCACTAGAACCAGGCTCCCTGCTTTTACTTGGAAATGGGACATGGTGGATGGTCGCACAGGCTGTCAAGTCGACAGGCTATTAAGTCGACAGAGAGACCTCACTGTTCTCACTGTTCTCACTGTTCTCACTTTCGCTTCTTCTTACGAGCGACTGTTGTAGCAAAGCCAACATTCTTACTGCAGAGGTCTGAATTCTCAGCCTGCTGGTCGTATCTGGCTACGCGAGAATCTCTGGATGAGAGAACTGGTCTCAGTGTTAATATTCATTGTAAAATTTGGACTCAAAACAATCGATCTCCACAAGGGTTGTTAATAACTAGTGGTGTGTGATGTAGAGCATGGAGATGAAGCCAGAAAGCTCACCCAAAGCAACGTGCCGTGGAAAAGTGAGGAGCTGGCTTACCTTGATGAGGGGGTTGATGACACCAACGTTGGGGCTTGCATTGAACACCTTGTTGAAGTTGGTCTCTCGGTTCACCAGCTCCAACTGGTAGAACTTTTTGTCATCCTGTTCAAAAAAATTTAATAGATTGGAGTGAATTTTGTTTACTGGAGTCACGGCCCATTTCTCGAGGTGAAGGACTGTCCTGCTTTGCAGTTATCTGCCATTAAAGAAGTACGTGCATCAAACATCAAGATAAATGTTTAAAAGTTGCCGTTTCCGAGATAAAAAACAACACAAATAACGTCTAAATATGTCTGATCTGTGAGTCTTATGGTGAATCTCTGTTCCCAGGGCCGTTTACGCAACATTCTGAAAATACACCCTCCATGTTCATTCCAGCTTTTTTTTTTATTCATTTCATTTCCAGTGTGTTGTCATAGTTACGGTGAAATCTGGTCTGAAATGCGTCAATGGAATAAAAAAAAAAACCTCCATGTCCAAAGTGCTTTTCCAATAATGCTTAACGATTCCTATGGTGTGGTGAAGCTCTCTATGGAGAGCAGGGTGTATTGCCTGGGGGAGATGGCATCCCGAAACACTTACCACCAGCTTCTTGACCAGTGCTTCTCTCTCTGCCACCATATCCTTCAGCTCAGCGATCACCTGCAGGTCTTCGGGGCGGCTCTCCCTGTTCCGGAACTTTTCCTCCGTTCCCTCCAAACTGGGTGAGGGAGCAAGCAGAGGTCAGGGAACACAAGCTTGTAGAACTGTAGGGTTTCCAAACTCACCACATGTAACCCTTCCTACCCAAGGGTCTCAGAATACAGAACCACCACCCAACACCAATCAACAGGCTGTTCATTTGGGTTTGGCACAATGAAAATGCGGAGACTCTGAGGTGCTAGAACAGGGTAGGGAAGGTGGTTCTCAGTGATGCAGATGTTTCAAAGATTTCCAGCTCTTTAGCTTCATTCTCCTGCCAACATCATTTAATACCAAAGCTGCAAGATACATGGTGCTGGGACCTAGATTCTCCTACATTTCAGTTTCCCACTAGATCAAATCTCCTGACAGTGTTGGAAACACACAATACAGTCCTTCTTTGACCATAAATTCACTCTGGTGGACACTGGATCATACAGTTAGTCACTGGCCAGAAACCAAATGTGTGTCTGTGTGTTTTTACACAAACATTACATTTAACGCTTTTTCAGAGGTGTCTAAATTTTAAAAAGCATGAATCATTTATGCTCTGTTGTTTTATTTTGTAGTTATTGCAAAAAAAAAGAAAATACTAGGGAACAAATGAATCTTAAATGACTAATTGTACCGTAGTATATTTTAAGAAGCAGAAAAAAATTTATCAAAACAAACAAGGCAGTTTGAGCAAAGCCTTTCCATGCTTTTTGCAGTCTTGGTAGCATTAGAGTAAAACACCAGCTTCTCTCTCAGCAACAGGTGCCACTCAGATGTGATTGGTCCGAGTGTCGGTCTATTGTAAAGGTACCAGGATCACCTTAATTCAGCCGAAACTAGGGGCACTAGCAGCAAGAGAAAACAAGCAGCCGCCAGCACAGTGATGGGGCTCAGGAGGACGGCGCATCTGCCAAAAACCAACAAATAATTGAGCAGCTGCACAGAAATAAATACCCTGTGAAGTTTTAATAGAAGGAAAAGGCGAGGTGGTTGGGGAATGATTTCGGGGATGCTTAGAGAGCACTGTGATTAATTGGGGAGAGGAAGGGGGAGCCGTTCTGAATACAGAATGGTGTCAAACTTCATTAGCAGGCAGAAAATGCGTCCCACAGCGCAGGAAGCATCAGGACATTAGCCGCTAAGCTACCATGTGGCCATCTAAGGCAAACGAGCAGGACTAACCGGTCTTTGGCCAATCTGCAAATGAAAATCATTAACCTTCATGTTGTACGGTTTCAGAAATGCTCTGATGCACACCTGTCACCCCTCTGTGGAAAGCGAGATGATTGCTAGATGATAAACTGGCAAATGACCCATAGCCTCCACAATGAGTGAAGGTGGCTTAATTACACGCTATGGCAGGTTTTCTGGCCAGCCGGGGAAATGCACCGCGACTTGATGGAAAGTGTGACGGAAAGGAGAAGGAAGCCGCAGTTTCCAGACCTGCCGCTAGATGGCGCTCACATTCACGCAGGACTAAACTAGGTCATTCCCCAACATCCAAATCTCCGCTCCCAAGGCCCCGTCTGGGGCTTGTACATCAGATGCAGCCAACATGCATGAGAAAGCACAAAAATCAATGACAATTTACATCGGCTCGCGTGGAGTCCTGCCTACAGTCTTGCTGTCAGTGATGAAACGGCGTGATTTTCTTCACTTTGATTGGCCGCACCGACAGACCCCGCCTTCCAGCGTAAGCCACTCCGCCTTCTCCGTCCGCAGAGGGCCAAGGCCGCGGACGACTCTCCCGTATCCCATAAACCAAGCTGCGGGAAGCCGTCATTGGCACAGGGGCCATGTTCTGCCAGAGTGGCCCGGAGGGGGCCGTGTCTGGGTGCGGGGGGGCCACTGGGCCCTCCTCTAAAGGTCACCTTCCCCGGCCATGTCATCTGCCACCTCAGGCCACCATCCCTCTCTCTCCCTCACCCTCTTTTCTCAGTGTGTCCCTCCATCAGTGCCCCTTGTTGTGAGCAGGGGAGACATTTATGTTAATGTACTCTTTTATACACACACACTTGCAGTATTGTGGGGACATTGCACAATTTCTGGCTCTAGTGCAATCAATGATTCCAAATTTCATCAATCAAAACTAATAACAAGCACATTTTGCATCGTTAGTGCTAGACTATGGGGCGGCATGTTGGTCCTAGCATTGCTAGGACTCGAACCCTGGTCCCGGCTCTATGAGTGTGGAATTTCCATGTTTTGCATGTTGTCATGGGGTTTCCTCCAGTTTCTCTCTACAGTCTAAAAACAGACTAAGGTTGGAACTGCTGAATTGTGTGCCCTTGATGGGTTGGTGACTCCTGGGTTATTCCCTGCGTTGCGCCTGAAGCTTCTGGGATAGGCCCCACAACTCTGCTCTGGACAAGCAGGTAGGGCAGATGAATGAACAGTCTCAGAATTAGTTTATCTGTCACTCCAAACGTCTGTTTTCAGATTATTCTTTTTCCAGATCTGCCCCCACAACATCAGTAATGTCTTCACACAGTGACACGGGTCTCTCTCTCTCACACACACACACACATACACACACACACACGTACAGGATCTGAAGTGCAGAGATCTTGTCCTTCAGAAGCTCCTGGGCCTTGTTGAAGTCCGCCAGCATGTTCTGCGTCTCGCGGTTGTGGCTGGCGTTCATCTCCATCATCTCCCTCTCGTGTTTCTTTATCAGGTCTTGCTCGTGGGCCCTGGAGAAACCAAACGCATAAGATCCAAAATAGCTGCTTCCCACACCCAAACCTGGAGCTGAGCCTCGCTGAAAGGGGCTTGGGATTTGGTGACCGTGCACAATAAGTAACACGTCGCTTTTCACGATTTTCTACAGAACATTAAATTTTCATCCCCCTGTTTTGTTCGTACCTGATACTGTAATCCTTTCCAAGGGAGACATTGATAATTTAACGTGCATCTCAGGGAGGCCATATCATCACCCCTCATACGCGAAAGCGCTTTTCTCTGTTTATTTATTGATTTATTGTCATGCTGGTCAGGGATTTACTCTTGTGGGAATGCACTTAGGTCTGGGTAAGAGCATATGCTCCGCGTCCAGAGAGAGGCCACAGCCCACTCAGACCACACAGAAGGGAGGTACTCTTCCGGAGTAAACCCCCCTCCCCCACCCCCTAAGGGATGGGCTTTATTTATTTATTTGATATTTTTATCTCTGGCCTGAGAATTCCGGAGCATATTACATAATTGGAAATGAAACATGCTCTGGGAAGGACTGAGGTCCTGGCTGATGGTGTACTCCGTTCCTCTCAGACATCTCCGGATTTGAGCCAGTATAATTTCAACAAACGCCACCTGTAACTCTAACAAGAAGCTTCTATCTGCATCAGTCATTAATGCAGCGCCTCAGAAATATTGACTTTGGCTCAATAGAGAACTGACGGCAGATTTTTATCAGCCATGCATGTGCGATTACATTACCAGAGAAATAGTTGGATAAAAGGACAAACAGCGCTGCTTCCAGCAAACTATCAAAAAGGAGTTGAATGGAATCTTCCCAACTACAGAGTGCTTTTGCACGTACATTCTGAGACAATCCGTTGTACAACATGCAGGAATGATTAAATGTCAGGGATTCCTCTAGCGAACATGAATGTACATGTTTGTCTAGTGGCTTTTGACAAAGTGGTTTTCTTGACTTCATCAAGTGACCAAGAGTCATGTGACCAAGAGTCTCCCTGAATGTTTCTGTAGAGGAGACCTAGCTGCCCCCCACCAGACTCAGCCCCCTCCGCTACCTGATCTGCTGGTTGGCTTCACTGCGGACCTTCAGCACCTCCTTGCCCTTGAGCTCCAGCTCCTTGGTCAGGGTGCTGATGTTCTCATTCAGGGAGTGAATCTCATGGTCCAGGTCGGCGATGTGATTCTTCCTGCGGCTCACCTCCTCCTGCAGGTCCGAGATGCGTCCCAGAAGCTTCTTCTCCTGTTCGGAGGAGACACGTACGCACGCAGGGGTGAGCTGAGAACTGTAGGCCAACAGCTGCATATCCTTTCTGTGGAAAAGAAGCCTTTAAGCTTTAATGAGAATGCGGACATTACCGCCCTGCTAACGTTCAACACTCACCGGCCACTAAACGATTTCCGCTTGGCCAGACACAGCAGCATTAGGCAGAGTGTTTCAAATACTGATGCCAGCATGTTTCTCCAGCATTTCTTAGCTTTTGCTCTGCCTGCCTATCTAGTCCTACTCACCTGGTACAATTAAACAAATGGCTACCTTTGATTATAAGAAGCAAACCCGAGAATACAGACAGCTTCGGCCTACACTGTCAGGGGACGAGAACTCATAGTACAACCTCAAAGGTCTTTGACTTTTTTGGTGGTTAAATTTACATCCTGATGAGCAGATCCACACTTCCCATGGCGCTATATCCACCACAAACGCAGCTGGGCTCTGCTCTTCCACGTTGATGAGTCCCCCCCCCCACGTTTTAAGCATGTCTTCTTCAGGCACAGACGGTCTTCTGAGAGAGACTCTCTGGAAGGTTCGGTCATTGTTCATTACACCTGTTCGCCTTGACAGTTTCATTAAAATCGTGAGCAGAATGCACGGTCATAACAACAACAAGCACCTCAAACCGCACATCGACTGTCTTAAAGCCGTGTCCTCGCACGATGTCCTCGCACGATGTCCTCGCACGATGTCCTCGCACGATGTCCTCGCACGATGTCCTCGCACAATGTCCTCGCACAATGTCCTCGCACAATGTCCTCGCACAATGTCCTCGCACGACCGGCTCGTTGGGGCTGCATGTGACGGCTGGCTTTGAGTCACTCTGTAGCAGGTAACATCCCTCTATCTCATCACCCCCCCTATGGGCCCCCTGCTTTCCTACCCTCACTCCCACACTCACACCCCAAATGCTCACTTTCAATCTTGCACAGTGGTTTTTTTTTTTTTTTACCAAACCATCACATTTCTGCAGTCAAACCCCAAACTGCCCCTCCGGCCTCCCCACGTCTGGACACACGCCTGTTTCCCTCCTTATGTTTCATTAAAGCGTGGCTTTATCATGCCTAACTTGTTCCAGGGATAATCTTTCCTACCATTTTCTGGTGTTTATGGCCAGAGCTTAATGACTCCCACTGAGTATATCAAGTAAATTGCGCGTCTTATAAAGGTAATGGTTTCTGAGAAATCGGATTACTATATGCTCCAATAAATACAGTTTGAAACAGGGAAGATCCATTAGGTGAATAATAACCCTCAGCTTTACTGAGCCTCCCTGAGACAAAACCCCCGGCTCGGCTGCAAAATGGTACAGCCCTTCTTTCTCATTTTCGCCTTCTTCTTGAAGGACCAGCAGTTCAGTTTTCACCTACTGAAATGTTTTTCTTGCAGTTAAGGCGACGTGCCTGTCAGCTGAACTCATATATGCTCCTTTCAACTCAACGTGGCGAAAACCTCATGAGACCTTAGAAAAAGACTTTGGACTTTTCTTCTTATTTAGTTTCTGTGTTCCATAGGGCCTTGTTTAATCGTGAGTACTGCATTATTAATGGACTGTGTGTCATCCATGTACTGCAATATCTCAGTTTAGTACTTTGCAACACACAACCCAGTTTTATCCTACTATTACTCCAACACACAGTAACACACAGTAACTCCAGAGCTATGGCCTTAATCGACGATCCACATGACTCTGACACTAACAGGCAGGGTCTCCTGGGCGCTGACAGGTCAGTGGGTCCACTTAGGTGCAGCCATGTAGTGCTGACCTCCCAGTCACCAAAGCACAGGCCCCACTAGGGGATGCTGGTTATTAGTGACACATGACCACGGGGGGGGTCCTGTCAGACTTCTGAGTCTAGATCCGCATTTCTCAAGCTATTCCACAGGGAGCCCCAGACAGTCCACATTTTTATTCCCTCCCAGCTCCCAACACACCTGTAGCAGGTACTGTGGACTGGGTTTGAAAAACACTGGCCTAGAGCATGGTGCAGCACGGAAAGTTCCAGAACCAATAGGTCTACCAAGCAGGCTGGATTTTCTTATTCTACAGAGATTGTTGTTAACGGGTGAAACCGGACCATTAAGACCGAGAATGCTCACTTCGTCTCGCTCGTGGTTTCAGGCAATCAGGACATCTGTGTAACTGATCCAAAAACACACGCGATGTCAGTCTGCCAGCATCTGGCCAAGACTCGACCTCAGAACAACTGGTCTCAGTGCTGCGAACTTGGGCCTCATCATCACGAGAGATGCCCTGGGCAAAGCCCTATCATTAGCACCTTAAATGGCCTCAGCATTTAGCCCCCTTGCTGGTGCAATTAACCCTTATTAACTCCACACTGAAGACGCAAGGCAGGGGGCGAGCTTTATTTCAGGGAGACAGAACTTTCCGAGTGATAAAACACTCATGATCTCAGAAGAGCAGGAGACTATTGGAACCACACCCCCAGTGAAGAAACACATCTGTTGAAATGTAAAAAATACAAATGGCCCGCACCACCCTAACTTTCATAATTTCACCTGGACATTCAACAGAATGAAGGACAGACCAACAGTTTTGATTGTGCGTCGTGGATGAAAGACACGGAAGCCGCCTTTTTCTGGAGACGCAGGTGGACGAGCCAGTTGAAGGAATTTTTAGGCATGAAAGGAGAACCATCAGAACGCATAAAATGTGTTCTGGCGAGACATACGCTTGAAAGCCGCTGCTGCCCGGTGATCTTTGAAGAAGACCATTAGCCCAAAGTGATGCGCACGCTCTCGATCAAAAACAGTGCGATGCATTTCATCATGAGCTGTCAAATTTTGAAAAAAAGCTTATGGGAAAGCCATGTAAACAATGTTAAAAACATACACGCAAGCTACCATTTACAAGTGAACTAATTATGAGTCTGTACAGGTGTTTTTGACAGATAGTGGGTAAGCCTTGCGTAGCTCATTCTGCCGAGAGCTTCTGCCAAGCTTATTAACGTGAGGACAGAGACCTCGCTGAACACCACGGTCTGCTACGATAACCGAAGGAAACCGAAGGAAATCTGGACAGACACGGTCCCACAATGAACACAGTGACAGAACCCAGAGTCACAGTTTACAGGCTAATTTCACTGGTCGCCAGGGAAAACTGGTCCCAAGAACCTGAGCCAGACTGGTGATTAGGCTTGTGTTTGGCTGTGGAATGAGGAACAGCTTACCAGACATGGTGACTGTGGTGGACCAGATGGCAAGCGGCCACTTTTGGGGAAGGGGCCATGAAGCCATTCTAATTACTCTACATGAATCAAGGCTTTTATCATAGATTGCAAACAAATGTCCAGGCCCCCCGGGGTGAATAATGGAACGTTCCGGTTCAGGGTGCTTCATCACACATTTATCGGACGCGAATGGAGCTGTTTCGCTTTTAATCACAGGAAATCCGTCTGTGAACAGGTGTCCAATGGGAGCCTGGTTCTCTTGTGGGGTGGGGAAGGCGGGGGGGGGGAGAGGTGGCACATTGTCATACAAACAGGGAGGGCGCACCGGAGTGACTGGAAAGCCAGACCCGATGAAGCCAACAGGGATTCTGGGAAATCTTTGGTCTTCTCCCAGTAGAAAGCGTCTCACAAGGCTTTGTGTGGCTTCAGGAGACATGGCCTTGTTTGTTCGTGGTGGAGGAGGGCACCATATTCGGCAGGGTTAGGGGAGGAGAATCTCCTTTGATGGAACATGAAAAGGTGCTGAGAGATCAGAGGGACCCTCCATTACGTCTGGCTGGTGCTCTTAAAACCTGTTAGGCGACACAGCGGCTTTGATTAAAATAACCCTTTAATTAAGCCTTTAAAGGACATGTACATTTAGAATATTCTAGCTCTCAGCCTACACAGTTTACTGCATGAATAATGCCAGTGCGCAGGGGCGGGTTCGAGAGTTTATGTGTCATATGGAAGAGGGTATCAGAAGAAGGCTGCTGTAATCTCCGAGGGCGTTCGAGATCCCGGGAAGCCTCCTCGCCTCAGCCTGTCGCCCCTGGATGCGACTTTTCAGACAGAGACACCAGGGACGGGTCAAGCATCTGCAGCTGGCTGGAGAGCACTCACCCCCCCGAAGCCTCCGGGAACGCGTTTCATCTCCTGGATATCAAAACGTTCGAACGCCGGGCTGAGTCATGTACTGTCCTACTCCGTCAGATTCAAGATGAGATGAACGGAAATAACTGCATCGATATCTTTATGATGAAATGCTTTTTAGAAATTATATACATTGGCGGTGTCTTGCTTTGAAAGTATTTTTGGATTTAAATGTCGCCTTGCAGCGAATGCCGGTATTATTATAAGCAACCGTTAGTCAGCTACAAAAGCACTGGAGAAAACCTTGGATGGGGACTCACTGACATGATTTATGAATGCCTTAAGATGGCCCCCGGCTGAGGCTGCTGGACGTTCTGACTTTCAGGCAGGCAGAGATCAGAGTCTGACATGAGTGATGTACCCGCAATATCTCTCGGTTCCATATGGCAAACACTCACTCTGCCTCAACTCCACCATTCACATCCTGCCTTTGCTAAAGTTCCAGAAATAGAGATCCTAGATGGATGACCTACCATGGCAATCAAGTGCATGAGATCTACATTTGACTCTTCTGGGGTTTAAGAGTAGATTTTAAGGTTTGGAGGCTAACTGTGGTACATTTACACTACTGCTACTACTAAGTGTTTCAGCTGATTCAGGGATTCTTTGCAGCTTATTCTCATTCATACGGTTCTGCAGAACCCACTTACTTTCCACTGCTCTCTCACCTGTTGCCGGCTATCCTCCAGGGCGGTCTCCAGCTCCAGTCTGGTGGCTGCCATCTCCTGCTGATGTGTCTGGCGCAGGTGCTCGATGGCTGAGGCATGGAGATGATTCAGCTCAGAGCGCAGGGATGCTGGGGTGGGGGAAGAATGCGTGGGTCAATGTGCCTGTGCCTGTGGGTCCCTACCCAACGTGACTCTGCCCTGGGGATCGGGCTCCCTACCCAGCACGACTCTGCCCTGGGGATCGGGCTCCCTACCCAGCACGACTCTGCCCTGGGGATCGGGCTCCCTA